TTCACAAAGAATATGAAGATTGAAGGAAACCAGATGTTCCTATAAAGAAGGGGGGAAGCAACAGAGTTTGAGGGGGAAAAACTCCCACATTTTGTACAGCAATGCTATAAAGAGATAAGTAATTTTGGATGGAGCTAATAATTTCAGAGTCTGGATGTTTCAGAAGAGGAAAAAAACAGGCCTGTTCTGGTTACTTTCCTCTTCCTCCTTTAATTCACAGCATGCACTGAGCCTATTGCAGAAAAAGCAAGTGGAGGGAAATGAAGAAATAATGACATGCAAACAACAGACAAAACTATCACATTCAGGGTATTTTTGTCTCTATCCTCAAGTCATTTCTTTTCTTTCAAACTCCTTCACTCCAACTCATTTTCCAGTCTGCATCCCTATTACAAATGGTCCCCACTACAGGTCATAGCCTGGTTTCCAGATGAAACATTACCCACACTTCATATTAAAAGCAAGGCCGACAGGCAATTCAGAGATGGTCCTGGGATGCTCGGAAAATGAAGATCTTTCTCCTACAGCTTCAGTGCCAGGTGCAGTCACTGTTTTACCATCTGCATCTGTGCACAGGTACCCAGAAGACATGAAGCCCTCCTGCATTATCTGGTCATAGGATATAATTACAGACTTCATCCTTGTTGGCTGCTGACGTCTTCCCTAATCAAGGCATCCTGCCTCATGATTCACTAGAGTTACATCAAACCTGAAATTCTTACCAGGACCTGTCTACTATCCAGCAATGTGCTGCATGTTTATAGACAACCAAAGCAGGAGAAAAGGATATGCCAAAATGGGAGATGTAGGAACTAAAACTTTTGGTAATCTTCACCAAAATCCTCCAAAATAAATGGACAGTCTACAACGGGAGATTCATAATAATAAAGCATATAATCTCTGATCCAAAGTCAGAGTGCTTTGGGGATACAATGAAATTCTCTACAATAAGAAATCATGGATTAATGCCCACAGGTTCGCTGTCATGAGCTTCATTATCTCAGGGCTGCAAACATATTTGACCTGCCTACTGTCAGCCATGTTCATTTCCACACAAAACATGTGCTCCCCTGAGGAGGCCACCAATGTGATAGGGGCATGGGGGGAATATCCCATCGCCCAACTCCGGAATAGAGTCTCCAGGCCAGAAACACCACTTCTTCCCCTCACACCCCTGACCTGGAAAAGTTCAGACAAGCGTGGGGCATCACACAAACCACACATGAGGTGCTGTATGCCCACAGAGTAACTGGCCCTGGGCATGAAAGAGAGTGAGGGCAGGTAAGCTGCGGCACGGTGAACACGGGCGGGCACTCAGAACAGCCAACTGCCAGAGAAGAAGAGAACCCTTTGGTTAGCTCTATTAGATGAGCAAAAAAGAAAAGGAGGAATCATATAGAATGGAACATCACATTTTAAATCACATTAGCATTTTTAAAAAGAGTATGGTATCCACTGCAGAGGAAAGTGCCATAAGCAAATAAAATTATCTCCCTATGCAGATGTAGCTTCCAAGGAAAATGAAACACATTCAGAGTAGGCTGTTGACTTGCCACCATCTTCCATGCCAAATCTGGGCTGTCTTGGGTATTTCTTCCCATAAGAACTAGACTTCCCCTATTAATAACTGGATAAGGTTACCCTTCCCCTCCAAGTCGGGTTGAGGGTGTTCTGGAAGCATAACATAAACCATTCCTTTTAGTTAACCAATCTTTTCAGACAAACATGATGAAAGACCAGCAATATGCAGCATGAAGAGACCACTAATGCAGCACATAGAAACGTACATCATCCCCCTCATCCTAACATCAACCCCCCCCCGTCCTACAGTGACTTTCTGCAGCCTATGATAAAGTGTAAGTCTCAAAAGGTGTTGTAATACGAACAAAATCCCCAAGCATGCTAGATTTGCATGTGTCAATATGAAAGCAGGTCTTGGCATGTTTTCTGAACAACAGAACAACCTTCTTTTCTTTAAAAAAAAAAAAAAACTGGCCCTTACAAAGAGCAAAGAAGTACTTCCTAAACTTTAATGAGCATATTAATCACATGGAGATCTTATGATGATGCAGATTCTGATTCAGCAGGATTGAACTGGGGCCCAGGATTCTGAATTTTTAGCAAGCTCCCAGGTGATGTGGATGCAGCCCCTTGCTCTCTTTGAGAGGCAGGAATCTAGACGATTTCACCTTGAACTAAGACCCCTCCCCACTTCAGGCAGGCTGAAATTTCTGAAGGACATCATTAATAATAACAACCAGTGTTTCTTGGGTAATTAGGTAATGTTTTAGGTGTGTGATATATATTAACTAATTTAATTCTCCCATTATTATTATCACCCACATTTAACAGATAAGACAACGGAGTCACAGAGTAATGAGGTAACTTTTCAAGGTCACGGAGCTAGTGAAGAAACTAGGATTTGAGCCCAGGCAGCCTAGCTCCATGGACAACCACTACCCAGACTGACTCCCAGTAAGACAACACAAGATATTTTGGGAAGTTGGATGTTTAGAAAGGAAAGGAAGTTGAGACTAGGAATTTAGGTGCGTTTTCCCACGGTAACCCAATGTTTCCATGCGGTCACCACCAGAGGGAATATATTAGTCAATTACATTGTACAGAAGAAAAAAAAAAAAGCAAACATGGTGTATTTTACATTTTCCAACAGGGCTCCACTAAACACCTTAGCAGATGTTCTCTGAACACTGTTATCACAGCCTACATGCTGTAGAACCGCTGTGAAATTTCCAACTATGCAGACAGAGGAGACCATTGGGACAGGGCTCAGGGCCAAGGCACAGTGCATGATGCTAAAATCAACTCCCTCGAGAGTCTCTGGTTTGACTCTCTTTGGTCCATGTTGGCCAAAGACAAGGAAAGGGAGGAGTAAGACTCACAGCCGCACCTTGCGCGCTCGCAACGCCTGGTGGAAAGGCGGTGTCTTTGCAGCGGAAGAGAAAACGTGAAGAGGTGACCGCGTGGTGCAGGAAACGTGCCTGGCTTCTCAGCCCGGAAGTACCCGAGGTGCTGAACCTGGGTAACTGGGGACCCCAGGGCCGCTGGGAGTTTCGGAGGCGCTGTCCGAGGTGCCAACGATGGCTGCTGGCACACTTTGCCACCCGCGGGGCAGTTGAGCGGCTTTGTCTACCGCAAAGAAAGGGAGGGCGTTTGTCTGAATAAACACGCCCCTCAACAGGGGCGCAGCAAAGCAGCACCTGGTGGATGGGAAGGTTTGGAGAACTGTAGAAGGCAAGCGAGAAAGGAGGGCCCAGGCTGGGAAATCCGTAGACTGCCTAGAGGAATATTTGCAGCGGCGGCAGCACACAACACAATGACATCTGTCGGCTTTGTGCAGCGCACCGGCAGGCGTGACTGCGGGGACCCGACCCCTCCCCCGCCCGAAACCCCCACCCTAGCTAGATACGTTCAACTCAGGAAATGGATGGCCCGGGATCACTCTGTGGGAGTGGAACAGGGGAGGGGAGTGCAGGGAGGAGGAGAGAGGGAGAAGCCCAGCCAGGGGTGGCTGTGGGAGGATGCGAACAGCAGCAGGAAGAATATCTGCTTAGAGATGCTCCTTCGTTTCTAATGAGGGGTGCTGCCTAGAAGCACCACGCGCCAGCCAATCATGGAGCTGCTGAGGCAGGAAACTAGGGAAGAAGGAGGGGAGGGCCAGAGGCTGGGGTGGGGGGAGTAGGGAGATGCCCAAGCCCTGGGGAAAACGAGCTGGGTGCCTGGCGAACACTAGGGACTTAAGGCAGCTCCAGCTGCCTCACTGCTGCACACCTGGAGAGTAGGGGTGGGAAAGAGGGAGAACAGGGGAGACAAGGAGGGGCCTCCTTTGCAGGTACATCCCTCCCACATCTCCCTTCCAAAGTCCCATGTCTCCAACCCCACCCCCATATTTAACACCAGACCACTAGCTTGCCTCCTACTAATCGCCTTCACCACCTCCCACCCCCAATTCCTAATGGCCGTGCCAGGCATCCAATCCTCAGTGAAGAACAAGGCAGCGCGCTGCCTAATCAGCAGCCTGCATTGGGTGCACTCGATTAAACCTGCAGAGCAGCTCCTTCCATGCCTGTTCACCCTGACACCACCATCAGAGATGGCCCCCACCAGTGCTTTTGGGAAAGCAGTTCCTTCGGAGCTAAGGAGAGAGAGGGACTGCGTGCACACCTCTGGCCTCGGCGGATGAATGCAGGCCCAGCAGTTCCACCTGGATCCTGGGTACTGAGAGAGCAACCAGCTGGGTCAAGCACTAAGAAGCAAGAGGACCCAACCCAGGACCAAGGAAAGGACGGACCTGAGGAGCTGCTCTTCGCTGGCTGAGAAGAGAACTCCAAGTTTGAGCTGCTTGAGCCATGGCGACAGAGATCACCTCCCCTGACAGACACTCATTCATGCCACTTTCAGTGGAACTTAAACTCAAGTCCCGAGAGTTAGCTGAGTCCCCAGCCAAAAGTCTATTTTATTTATTCATTTGTCTGTCTGTATACAGGATTTTGGCCCAGTGCTCTGGGAGCTTCCGAACTGATAAATCCCCTCATGGAGCCTCGACTTCCCTACAAGAAGACAGTGCAGTATCTCCTGGCTGGTGGGGATAGAGGCAGAGTGGCTGGCTTAAAGGGAGGAAAATGAGATTTGATTATGAAAGGAAGCATTGGGGCAGCCCAATCTTTGTAGAGTGCGGCATGTGAAGGGAGTAGGGGTGGGGAGGGGGCTGGGAATCAGACAAAGCCCAGCCCAGAAAGGGACGCACCCAGGGACACTAGAGATTTCCACACAGGAAAAATAAAAAACCAAAAGTCTTACCTTGAAAAAAAACACTAGTGCCCAAACCGGTCTCCAAGGCACCAAGCTTGCCCCTTAGATGCACCATTTCAGCAAAGGGGCAAATTGGCACCAGGAAGGGGGTGGGGGATACATTCCATGCTAGGTCCCCCGCTTCACCCGAAGAAGGGGGAGAGGGAGTTATGGTGGGCAAGAAAGGATATGGCCAATCGATGAGCTTCTTGGCGTATTTCCTGACAATGTTTTCTTCTCCGAAGATGAACAGGGATCTGTTGACGGTGAAACAGTTCTGCCGGACGGGAATGGGGTTGTACAAAGCCATAGTCCGCGCCCTCTGCGCTTTCGTCTGCTTGTAGGCTGCCGCCTGCCCCGAGGCCGGCACGGGGGTTCCTTGCCGGTTTCTGCTCTGGTCCGAGTCTCCATCGCCCGACCCCGGCCTGGCGACCACCGCCTCCCCGAAGCGAGCCATCCTGAAGTTTAAACAGACAGAAGACACACAAAGGTGATCGCAGCCGAACACCCGCACACAGCAACAAGCAGAAAGACACAGGGAGACTCAGAGCCGCATCCAGGCAGGCGCCGGGACCACTATCTCTGGGGAGCTCCACGAACCCTTCGGAGAAGCAGCAGCAGCAGCCCGCTGCTGTGAACTGTTGAATCTAAATGCAACCTCTGCGAAGCTCCATTCCTCAAGAAGAAAAAAACAAATGGGGGGTAGGGCTTGGGGGTGCTCAGTTTCTGGAGAAAAATATTGTTTTCAAAATGCCAGTGTGTGGTGGTGTTCAGGGATCACAGAGGAGAGGGGTGGAGTAGGCTGCTCTTCAAACATAGCTCCTCTTCTGGCAGACGCACCACCTAGTTCTGGGAGAGAGGCAGGCACCGGCCCGCTAGGTAACAGTTTCGTGATTTATTGGTTGGGGGAAGGGGTAGGAGGGAGGGGAAAATGAAAACAAAAGAACTTTTTTAAAAAAATAAAAATAAACAAAAACGAGGACGGGGTTACGGTGACATGCTTTATAACGCCAACCCCCGCGAGTCCATCTAAGAAATTCCACCGCGAAGACTTGGGTCCTTAAATCTACCAGCAGAGAGGCATCCAAAGGTTGGAGAAAGAGGAAGGGAGGAGGGAAGCGCGATACTGAGGTTCCTGCGTAAACCGCAATGCCCAAAATCTCAAAATAAGAAGTCGATCCAAGCGGAGAGGGACAAATGACTTCAAAGCTCCTGCGCTTGGGCTAGAAGTTGAGCAGCATCCAGAGAGCAGCGGAGCCCGAGTGCCAGCATCCGCCTGGAGCGCTCGCCACCGCCGCCTCCCCGGATCAGCATGCAACAGCGATCCGCGGCTGCGCCGAGAGGGCGGGAGCGCGAGCGGGCGGGCGGCGAGCACCGGCGGGCGAGGAACAGGTTGCAGCCGAGCCTCGCGGCGGCCTGGCACCAAGCTTGGCCACAGACCGAACTTCCTCACTAACGGCTCGGTCTTCCTCTTCCACCCAGGCAGCGCCCTCGGCGGAGCACTGGCAAAGATGCGGAAGGAGAGGGGGGAGGCGAGGCAGGGGAGGACGAGCGGAGCGCAGAGGCGCAGCGAGGCGCGCGAGAGCGCCCGGGAGGAGCGGGGGAGGAGCTGGCGAGGCGGGAGAGGCGGGGACGCAGCCGGAAGGCTGGAGGTTCCTGGGAGGTGAGGCTGGCTTGCCTTGATTTATGTGGCCAAAGGGTAGCGGCCACCTCTGCAAAGGTCCGGTGAAGAATCCCCTTTCCCCCAAGTAAAGCCGAGAGGAGAGAGGCAGGCGCAGCCGGCGACGCGGCGGAGTCTCCGCAAGAGAGAGAGGGCCTGGCGTGGGGCGCACACGCAGGCGCTCCTTGGGTTCCCGCAGAGAGGTGTCCCCAGGGCTGTGCCCTGCTCGGTGCCGGGCACGGTGCCACGGGCCCGCCGCGGCCCTAGCGAGGAGTCCGGGCCTTTGCGCGCCACGCTCCGTGGCCGCATCGCTGCTCCTCCCCACCTCCGCACCTCCCAGGCTCCACGAACACTGCCAGGGATTTCCAAGGAGAACGCAGCACCCTCTCCCCATCTCCCCACTTAGCATCTGGGAAGCCCCGTGGGGGAGGCCGGGACCTCTGGGGGTTCCACACTCTGCTGTTGGCGCTGGCTCCTGGCAGGACCTTCTGCCCTCACGGGGCAGCTTCCTGGTTCCTCGCTGGCGGAGCCCTGCCCCACCTCTCCTAGAAGGGCCCTCCATGGTGAGTTATGGGCTAAAACTACCCTTCTCGAAATCCAAACAATCAGAAAGATCCCCGCATCTTTTACTCCCAAATAAGCTGCACGGACTTTCTCAAACCCACCCCATTAATGTAGAACAAAACAGAATCGGTATCTGAGCTGCAGAGGTGGGAAAGGTGGACTCCAAGCCCCAGGAAAACGCTCCTGTGCTTAGCAGCCAAGCCCTTCCCCACAGGTGACTGGTGGTTTGAACTGAGGGCAGAAACCAGCTGTCCCCTCCCATCTCCACACTAGGTAGGGCACACCGTCCTCTGCGTTTTCCTGTCTTGGCTCAACACATAGTCCTGTCCAGATCTTCCCAACCCGAGCAATGGAAGGGAAGAAGGAAAGGAGGGGCTGAGGAAGCAAACAAAGACACTGACCAAAGCCCCGAGGTTGGAAACCATGGGTGAGTATGGCTTCATGCCTGTGTAGTGAGATTAACTGTTGAGAAGTGCATGGCATGTGTGTTCTGCGGGTTATGTGTCTATGTGTGGGCAACGCCATGTGAGCACTGACGCGTGTCTATTGTGTGAGAATGTATGTGAGTGTATGTGTGTGTGTGAAGGAAAACTCTCTGACTACTAGAAATCCAAAGGAATGGCCTATCATGTCCAGCCTGCTGCCCTTGGGGAAGGCGTTTGACCTTCTGATGCAGGGGAGCCCACTGAAATTACTATTCAAGGTGAGTCAGCTCTAATTGTTATTTTGATTTCACATCATTGCCTTACTCTGTCCTTCCTCCTGTTTTAATCAGAGGGTCCTCTTCTGTCTAAATACCTAGTCGGAAGTGGAATGGAGGGAGGTTGGTGCTGTGAACCATGAGGTCCCATCAGCCAGTCACTTAGAACTGGTCCCAAGTGGCTATCTCAATATTCCTGTAAACTACAGAGGGGTAGAAAAAGGGCTTTTAGAAATGATTAAGTATATATCGCTGCTTTCAGACTACCATAATCCGCAGCACAAAATTCATTCAGATCATTCAGTTCAGAAGTATTTTTGAGTACCTTCCACGTGCTAGGCTCTGTTTTCGGCACTGAGGATACAATAATGAACAAGAGGGGTGATGACATAAATCATGTACCTTCTTACACTAGATTACACTAGATTGCATAACCTCGCGGGCCAGAAAGCTTCACGCACTTCACTTTCATGCTGTTCTCTCACCCGTTTGCTTTGTGGTCCTGCCTCAGCAGGCTAGCAGGTGGCATACCTTCTTGTTAACGCCCAGAAGAAGCAGGGCTCACTAGCCTTTTACCTCCCAGGTGTAGTTTTTGGAACATCAGAGATCCCTGACTTGTCTCTTCCATGCTATCAGATGGCAGCAGAGATCCAGTACTCCATGTCCTGTGTTCTCTGTGGCTGTTGTAATTCTCTGGAGACCTAGCATGCTCAAGACGGGATGGTTCACATGCAAATGACATGTACGTGATGACACACTGGAGCTGCTATCTGCCTTCTTGCCTTCCCCCCAAAAAAAAACAGGGATCCTAAATGCGTAGGTTGGGAATAATGTGGAATAACTTAGGAACTTTCAGCACCTATGTAGGTGAGTTAAACGGGATGATTCTTGGAGGGGGCAGTCAAAAACGAAAGAGGCAAACATAAAGGCATAATGCCTTTGGAGAGATGTGGCCTCAGGGCAGGAGTGCTAGCAGGAAAACATACTCTCATCTTCCACCCCCACCTGGGGCTGTCATAGCTCTGCAGAGCTTTGAAATCTATGAATTTCTATACTGGTTTCATGCCATCTAATCCCCCATTCTACCAGCCCCCAAGGCAGCTACAGTTGTTGGTTTTATTTTATTTTTTAATAGAGACGGGGGTGTCTCACCGTGTGACCCTGGCTGGTCTGGAACTCCTAGACTCAAGGGATTCACCTGCCTCAGCCTTCCAAAATGCTGGGCGAGCAATTGCGCCTGGCCAGTGGCTGCAGTTTTTATGGTTGAATAATACATGTGCTTAATAGTTTTCAGTTTACATAAACTCCACAGCTGACCCTCACTCCAAACTTCTGAGGTTAGCCCGGCAACACATGTATCACAACCCTTATTTGACAGACAGAACAGCAGGGTTTCAGCAATGTTAATTTAAGCTGTTTGTCCATGTTTGGTAAGAGGCTGAGTGTGGACTTCTAACACATCTGACCTCCAGTCTGTAGCTCTTTCTAAAACCCATGCTGCCCTGAAGGGCAGCAATAGTGTAATTCTAAATTGTTCGTCAAGAGAAGAAACTATACAGTGACACTAAGCCTGTGGAAATGCTATGCTTACCATCCTCAAATTGAATTTGATCAGAGGCCAAGTGTTCCTGGCACCATGCCCTCAAGATCCAGGAGTATCCTCAGAAAAAGTTCATGATGAGAATATTGCAGTCATGCCCTTCATATGGGAATTTGGTGGGCATTATCCTTCCAGTGCCCCGAGTTCCACTATCCTATTAAAGACCCACAAATGGAAATGTGGAAAATCAGCAATTAGTCATAACTCTGATGGGAAACCAGTTTGAAGACCATCTGAAAATCCCTTTCCAGCCTCAGTGACAGTAACTGTATTTTCCTGTTGTCAGAGCACCATCTACTGGTCACTTGTGAGATGTCACTGTGAGCCCAAGCGCTTGGCAGCCCAGCACCCTTTGCGCTAAGCCTCAGAGTCCAGACATTCCTAGGCTCTGACCTCTTGTTAACGGCCCTCTACTCCCCTATGGGACGTCATTCAGGTCCACGCCCTAAATTTCACCACCGTGCAGCCAGCCCATCTCACGGTACTCGGAAAGTGCAGCCCCACACACACCCTCCCAAGTTAAGATGGGCTTACCAAATGCTCCACGTGTTTTTCTGCAAGCAGTGACCTGCCAGGTGGAAACCCAACAGGAGCTCAGGAAGCAAGTGGAACGCTTTCCTAGTCTATCCAGCCCATGAAGACCATTACATTTCAAAGCGCTTCTCCTGCAGCCCTTCTACTGCAGTGTATCATTGAGCTGCAACCAGGAGTGAAGGGGACTGGTAAGTCAGGCCCTGCAGCCTCTTCTGCAAAAGGCAGAAAACAAGGTGTCCACACTGCTACAGACCAGACAGGCTGTGGGAGTTTGTACTAAGACAGATCGACACGCGTGGCAAAGCTGGAGACGCGGTTTGCCTGTTACCCTCATTCTGAAGCTCTTCCCAGATCTGTCAGGCCTTGGACCATCTTCGTAAGAGATTTTAACCCATCACTG